GGGGAGGGTCAGAGGGAGAAGCAGACTCCCGGCTGATCAGGGAGCCCGATGCGGGACTCGATCCCGGGACTCCAGGATCATGACCTGAGCCGAAGGCAGTCGCTTAACCAACTGAGCCACCCAGGCATCCCTGTTTGAGGAGTTCTTTTTTTTAAGATTTATTATTATTATTATTTATTTATTTGAGACAGAGAGAATGAGAGAGAGAGCACATGAGAGGGGGGAGGGTCAGAGGCAGAAGCAGGCTCCCTGCCGAGCAGGGAGCCCGATGCGGGACTCAATCCCGGGACTCCAGGATCATGACCTGAGCCGAAGGCAGTTGCTTAACCAACTGAGCCACCCAGGCGCCCCTGTTTGAGGAGTTCTTATACTCAGCTGAAATTGTCTTTCCTGGAATTTTCAGTCTGACAGAAGGAGATCCAAAAGTACCTGGATTTGTCTCTTATTATCTTCCCTTCCCTCAACTTCCCTTTCCCTCTCTTCCCCTCATCTCTCCTCCCCTTGACAAAAAACTGTTTTATTGTAGATCATTTTAGATGTATAGAAAAGTTGTCAAGATAGTATAGAGAGTTCTGTATATCCCTCACCTCATTGTGAAAATCTTACAGTACTGTAGTGTATTTGTCAAAACTAAGAAGCCAGTATTGGTACATTACTATTGACTATAAACTCCAGACTTTAGTCTGATTTTACTAGTCTCCCCCACCCTGCCCCCCATGCTCTTTCTCTGTTTCCAGATCCCATCTAGGATCCCATCACATTTTGTCATTAGTCTCATCTGGTGTGTGATAGTTTTGTAGTCTTTCCTTGTTTTTCATGACTTGACAGTTTTGAGGAATACTAGTTAGGCATTTTGTAGAATGTTCCTTAATTAGGATTTATCTGTTGTTGTTTTTGTTGTGTAGTTATGGGTTTGGGAGAAAAATACCGCAAAAGTGAAGTGCCATTCTCATCACATCATATTAGGGACACATGATATCATTTGCCTTATCACTGGTGATGTTAACCTTGATCTTCTAAGGTAAAGTTCTCCTCCCTCCTCTTTCCATACACAATTTTTTAGAAGCAAGTCATTATGTGCAGCCCACACTCAAGAGGTGGGGGGATTAAGCTCTAACCCCTGGAGGGGGCAGTGTCTACATAAGTTATTTGGAATTCTTCTGTAAGGAACATTTATCTCTTCTCCTACATTTATTTATTTATTTATTTATTTATTTATATTTATTTATATTTATTTATATTTATTTATGCAATCACTTATTTAGATCAGTATGGAGTGAAGCACATTTTTTTTGTATTTGGGGTTATAATCCATTACTACTTTATTTTCTTACCCAAATTGCTTCAGCTTTGGCCACTGCAAGGCCTTCCAGTTGTCTCTTGTGTCCTTTTGACATGCCCCATCCCTTTGTTTTTTTAAGGACTTCCTTACTTTCTGGCACAACAAGATCTTCCAAGTTCTTCTTGTATTTTCCCCTGCCCCATCCCTTGAATCAGCCATTTCTCTGAGGATCCCTGATTCCTTTTATTTGAGAATGATATTACATACCAAGATCTGGCCACTGGGTGTGCTCATTGCTACTGAGGTGTCTTACTTCTAGATTCTCTCGGTGGCAGAACTAGGAAATAGATGTATGTATATCAGCCCTTGTCACACACGTACCTATGATAGTTCTGTATCTACATTTGTTTCTGCAGTAAAACTTTTCTTTTGAGCATTTATATTTTTCTGTGTAGCCAGCAATGAAATGTGATTCACAGCCCACTATCACCAATGGTAATGTTTAAAAAAAAAAAAGAGAAGAAAGTTAAAATGGAGATGTTGGCATATATATGGCTTAAGAACTGAGCCATCTTTTAGTTGAATCATGTCATTTTAGAGATGAAAAGATCCTGAGAAGTGTATTGGGATCCTACGAGGTTAAGGAGCTGCTTAGTGGTACAGTCAGGTTTGGAATCTGGGTGTTTGAAATGGAGTCTTTTTATTTCCACTGTATCTCATGGCTCTTTAAGACTGATCAGTATTCTTCACTTTGTATTCAACTCAATAATTAGCTTTTGGGAATGCTTTAAGCAGATTAGAATGTAATTTTATAAATTGATGTGCACAGGTATTACCTAGCTAACAAACATCTGCCAGAGTGTTATTAATGAGGTAGTTGGTTCTCCAGCAATATATCTTAGATCAACAATTTGAAAATTATGCTCTTATGGCCAGATGTTAGTGGGTGAACCTTTTCAAATGATTATGATGATTATTCTACCTTGTTTTACTTTTTATAACTATCTTTTAAAAAAATCCTTTTGCTCTGGGAAGAGAATCATAGGGCTCCTATAGGATAGATACTTGATGCATATACCTGCTTTTTAGAAATGAGATATAATGAAGCAATGAAGGAATCTGCTTAATGTTATCCAAAATGTTGGTGATAGGGTAAAAAGGAAAAATGAAAGCTGTAGCCCCCACAGCCCCACTTCTAACAGGCCAGCCACACAGCTCCTATATTTCAAATTGCTCTTGGCAGCTTATAAAGCAGAAAATACTTGAATGCTTGTCTCCAGAGACTCCTGAGGTTATAGGACAGTCCTAGGATGCCTTCAAATGTTCTAGCCATTTCCTTTGAGAAGTGGGTTTGTTTACACTGGGTAAATCATGTCTTGTCACCATGTAACACTAAAATCATCCTGTTCTTTTCCATCTGTACCTATTCATTCCAGAGACTTATCATTTTGTTTTTGTTTGGTGCATTGTGAACATCCAAGATTTTTAGTGGAAATGAATGGTAACAGCTGTTTTTCGTGTACCAAATAATATAATTGTAAACCTTAACCTTGAGATGATATGTCCAAATTTTTCCAGGTGTGGAAATGACTTGACTAGAAAAGTTCGTTTTGGGGTAGTTATCCCTATACAGAATCACATTCATCTGCTTGCCATCAACTTCATTCAAAGAGAGAGCATTTCTGTAGGTTATTTTTTAATTCCAACACTCCCTTCTTAACCTGGCCTTTCCTCTTTAATATAGTGTATTTTCATACACATAAACATACACATACCCTAATGTCCCATCTTCCTTCTTTCCCACTTTATTCTTCTCCGTAGCTCTCACCACCATCTAGTATACTATATATTTTACTTCTTTAGCTTCTTAATTGTCTGTTTCACCCAACTAGAATGTAAGCTCTATGAGAGCAAGGGATTTGTTTCATTGACTGCTATATCCCTAGACCCAGTATAATACCTGGAACACAGTAGATACTCAGTGAACCCTTCTGAATGAATGACATGGAAGTTGCAAGTTGTGATCATTTGGCCCCTGATTTTAATATAAATTCAAATAGTTGAGTTTTATTTTATAGGATTATTTTATATTAAAAGTGAAATAAAGCACATTATTTAAAATGGGGATTTATCTATTCACCAAAAATCTCATAATTTGTATGAAACATGGTATAGCAATTTAAAAGTTATGCGGTTACTCCAGAAATGCCATGCTGTTATCACATGCAAGGAATTTTGAAATTCTCTGCTAAATATCACTCATGAAATTAGTGGAAGAGCTAAAAGGAAAAAAATGTTTTAAGTTATAAAGTGAATTACCTTCAGATTTACCCAAAGATATCTTGAACCCTAAGTGACATTGCCCAGTTTGATCCCTTATTCTATTCACCAGGTTTAGCAGAAAATGACTGTTCCTTGTTACAAAAAAAAAATCCTATGATCAATAATCGTACTACTGGGTATTTACCCAAAGAATACAAAAACACTAATTTGAAAGGATATATGTACCCTTATGTTTATTGCAGCATTATTTACAATAGCCAAATTGTAGGAGCAGCCCAAGTGTCCATCAATAGATGAATGGATAAAGAAGTGGTATGTCAGGGCACCTGGATGGCTCAGTGGGTTAAACATCTGCCTTAGGCTCAGGTCATGATCCTGGAGTCCCGGATCAAGCCCCACATCGGGCTCCCTGCTCAGTGGGGAATCTGCTTCTCCCTCTGCCCCTCACCCCACTCTTGTACTCTCTCTCTCTCTCTCAAATAAATAAATAAAATCTTTAAAAAAAAAAGAAGTGGTATGTATATACAAGGGAATATTACTCAGCCATGAAAAAGAATCAAATCTTGCCATTTGCAACAACATGGATGGATCTAGAGAGTATAATGGTAAGTGAAATAAATCAGTCAGAGAAAGACAAATACCATATGATTTTACTCATATGTGGAATTTAAGAAACAAAACAAGTGAACAAAGAAAAAAAGGAGACAAACCAAAAAACAGACACTTTACTATAGAGAACAGATGGTTACCAGAGGGGGAGGGGGTGGAGGGAGGGGTGAAATAGGTGATGGGGATTAAGAGTACATTTACCATGATGAGCACTGAGTACTGTATAGAATTGTTGAATCACTATATTGTACACCTGAAACTAATATAACACTGTATGTTAACTATACTGGAATTAGAATTTTAAAAATTTAAAAAATAAATGAAAATAAAAATAAACTTTGATTTTGGAATAAAAAAATCTATTCTGACTAATATTTGCCAATATAGAGAATATTAAAAAGAATATACTGTAAAATTCGAGGTGATTCCTCTAAAAGAATGTCAGCATTCGTTTGGATATATAGATGCTGACATGTTTTTATTTTTAATCGTATTGCTTTAAAAATACATTTTTTAATTTAAAATTTCTGGTATCTGAAGTACTTAGCACTTATAAAACTAGTGGACTCTTACTTGTATAAGTTATACGTAAGATAATATAAAAGGGCTTGCAACTTTACTAGCTATGTTATAAACTAGATCATACCAGTCAATCTAATGCCAATTTCTTGCAGCATTCTCTCTAGGACAAGAAACAGACAAATAAAAAGCAATCTAGTCATGAACATCACAAACTTGTTTGCAAGCCATCTTTGGACTGATACTGTGTATTAATTACGTCTTTGTATAAGAATGACTATTTTCTTATTACCACCTTTTATTTCAGAGCATTGGGGAGTCAACAATGTCTGTTGTGTTAAATCAGCTGCTGCCCATGATTAAGCCTTTGGACCAGAGGACCAATGATGACTACAGCCCTGAAGAGCTGTTGATCCTCCTGATATATATTTATTCTGTCAGTGGAGAGTTCACAGTGGACAAAAACCTGGGGGAAGCTGAAGAAAAAGTGAAGAAAGCACTGGCTCAGGTCTTTTGTGAAGAGTCTGAATTGTCACCTTTGCTACAAAAAATCACAGGTGAGTGTTTAATAAAAAATATAGGACATAAACATCACTGATATAGAAAAGGGTTTAAAAATAAAGGCATTTTAGAAAGAGGTGAAACCACCTTCATTGGAGTTGTTTGGAATTTTATGAGGCCTGATGAATACTAGCCAGCCTTTAGGATTAGAGGTTTTCACTGCAATATTTTTTTTCCAGCTATAGTGAAATTATCTTCTAATTGCCCATCACAGCTCCTATTTCTAGAGCCTTGTTAAAATAGCAAAATTTTCACAGGGTGTAATATCTTTAAGAAAAAATAAGATGTGCAGCCTATTCAAAGGGTTTCTGTTGACATGGTTTCTTTGAGATTGTCATTTCAAACTTAAACACACACACACACACACAAAAACCTGTTTCCCTAAAATGTTATGCAATGTCATAAAATTGAAAATTGCAATTTTTAAGAGTACTTTTATACTTTTTACTTCTCATATTTCATTTTGAATCTGAATTAATTGGTAGTATCCCAGATAATATCCGAATATCTCAGTAAAGGAGGCTATGCTGATTCGGGAAAGATATATCATACACTCTAACCATTTTTACTTTTAGTAAGAACTGTGATGTAACTCATAGAGACATTCATTTGTGTTTTTCTTATCAAACTCAGTATTATTTCTATTTTGCGCAAAGCTTATTTCCATTAGTATGGATGGAACCTGGGTCTGTTTACGAGTGGAAATTGTTAAAGCTTACACACAAAACTTAAATAGTCTAAAAACATACGTAGCTTCCATTCATTCATGAGTGTGTGTGTGTGTGTTTGTTTGTGTAGGTGTGTGCAGACCTCTCCATTCAGGAAGGCTCCACTGAGGCACATTATGTATTTCCCAGCTCCTCCTCCTGTTGCCTGTCGCACCTCACTGAGGGGAGCGTCCAGACCGCTCTGAAAGAGGCTGTATAGCTGTCCACCGAAGTGCCCCATGCATGGTGCTGGCCTTCGTGCCCACGGCTGACCTTTTCTTTGTCTGGCTATGGAAAATGAAACCCTGACAAGATGGAAACAGAAGTTTCCACAAAAATGAAACATTTCCTTGCTTAGTGTAGAACCTCTTTGCCAACTTAAAATCTACTTAAGGAAAACTTGTGGAATTTGCTCCCATTTCATTAAGTTACAGCTCTCTATGCGACTACGTGTTTGTTTGGCTATAAATGAATATTGACTTAGAAAGGTTTAATATGGTTTATACAGTGCTCTGAACAGTAATTTGATTCAAAGTAAATTTGAATGCCAAGAGAATTTAATTGGGAGTTATTCTTAAAATGCATAATTTCAGAAACAGACAACAAAGATGGTTTGTTTTAGCTGAGGTTCTTTGGATGGCTTTTCTGTAACATTAGTATGTTGCTGTATTATTTTGGGAATTGAAGTCATGCTGGAAGAGTATTCGTTTAATACTCACTCAAGGTGTTTATTGACCCAGCATTTCACTCTTTATTACTTTCTCTATTTATGATTGCTTAGGATATTGCATTCTCTTGCTTTTAAATGTGACTTTACATTTAAAAACACTTCTGTACATTCATGTTTATATCAAGAAATAGTAAGTTTAGCAAATGAAGCTTAAAAATAAGAATTTGTAGAAATTTTAGTATATTTAAAAATTTTAGAGACATTTTGTAATATGAAGTATACATTCCTACCTCGGTAAACTTTGGATGTACAGTTTAAGCAGGGTGGGTAAGATGCACTACTTAAATTTGGCATAGGTGAACTTACTAGTGGGATACATGTGCATCACTCCACCTCTATGGACACCAAAAGGACTTTATTTCTGAAGATAGACTTTTACTTGGCCATAGACATACCCCTATTAAGTATCTTGGAAATTCAAATGTTCTGAGAAGTAGGGTTTATGTTTACAATTAGCTGCTGAGGCAACTGTTTACATCTCAGGAAAAAAGCACTAGGATGGTGTGGGGGTAGCAGTGACTCAATCTTGTAGAACAAGGTGGGATGTTCCATTATATATTGAAAGAATAGAATCATCTTCCAAATTGCCTTCCAAATGCTTGGGCAATTGTGGAACTAGGTTAACCTGGCTTTACCATGAACTTGCGCACAGTGTTGGGTTTATGTTATTCCAGTTTATAGTCTTGGCTTACTTGTTACTGGGTGACAGAATTTCTTTTATGGCCTGTGCACATTTTGGGGTTGATGAAATTTGGTTTAAAACTATTATTGAAAGCAAGCAATTAATCAGTAAAACTCCACTTTTTATATTATAATTTTATTAATCTTAATGTTAATAGAATCAAGAAAATAATACTTTTTCTGTACTGAAAACTCAAGCATGTGATCATCACCTAAAAGTGAAAGGATCAGAATTTGAACCCAGGTGTTCTGGATCTGGAGCCCAGGTCTTTAAACAAGAGATTCTAAACCTGCTACCAGCTCACTTCCATAACCATTGCATTTATTATATTTTGTAACTGAGGCTTGCTTAAACTTACTGTTTTATGCCATGCATGTTCAGCCATTCCATCATGTTCTTATTTTACAAACAGTGAATTAATATTTGGTTAATATTGTAGATATCGCCTGTTCTTTTTACTCTGTCTGTAATAGCTACTTATAGATGTTTCCTCATGCCTTCCTATTTTCATGCATGTATTCTCTTTGTTTCTGCATTGCTATTAAGAAATTAAAATATTATTTCTAGTCATTGAAATCTATTGGTTGTCTAGCTTTCTAAAATAGGAGTGGCAAACTTAAATTCTTTTTATTTCAGTGATATCTCTTGACAATAATTGCCCTGTGTTTAAAATTCATATTTCCTTTTTATATGTTGAATATGTAATTTACTTTTGGCGTTTTCTTTCATTTCTCCCTATTCTTCCCTTTTATAGAAAGCACAATGAGAAACTGTAATTGGCAAAACATACAAAAACTTAAGCATGGTCAATGGCAGCATACTATTTTCCTTTTGATAGCTACTTTTAGGGAGAATGGCAGGCAAAAACTCTCTTTTCTACTCACACAAAATAACAAGGGCTGGCTCCCTGAGTGTCAGGGATAGGAGTTGTAAAAAGTAAATTGGTATGACCTGAAAATGTCATTTACTGTGCCTTCTCAGTCTTGCTAAGTTCAAAGAGATTATCAGTTTCTGTGTATGTTAGTGTTTGCCTAGCAGTCACAAGAGAAAACAAAGGAAAACCATTTGAACTTTCTTCAGAGAATGAAGTCAAAATTCTGATTTTAAAGATCTGTGTAAACTTGGAATGTCATCATACAGGGAGGTGTATCAGATAAAGCATAGAGCTTAGAGGTAAAAATCCTTGATTCAAAAGTCCTGGCTCTGTCATTTCCTAGCGGTGTGTGTTAGTCATCCTATCATCCATCTTTGAACCTTGACAATAAACATAAGTGCTATATTGATGACCACTCAGTGATTTTACTAAAAATAAAATGATGTTATATGGAGCTAACATATAACAAATAATGTTATATGTGAGCTAATTTCCAGTCCATACACACTGTAAATAAGTAATCATCTCCTATGTCTGTTGTTATTTTGGTCGCTTGTAGCTGTCATGTAGGGCAGTACTTCCCAACCTTAATCACATTGTGACACACACAGACAATGAGTATGCTTGCATAGTGTACTCAGGTAAGTGGACAGAACTTTTTGGTCAGAAGCAATCAGCCCTGGGGCTTTGGCCAGTCCAAACCCTACCTAACTAACCTGTGAGCCGAAGTGAAACAGCTCCGCACACATGTAACCTATTAGGAGCAAATCAGTACTCAAAGGGTATGTTGGTCAGAAGGTTCTGGAACCAGAAAAAAAGGAAAACAAAACTTGCATATAGTTTTTGACACCCAAAACTATTTTGGAAAAATTTCTTTTTGGTAAACAACTTTTATGTTGCTTATTGATTTATGTCCCTGGATTTTTATAGTGTCTTGAAAGGTCAATAGGGGCTAGATCTGTTGAGTTTAGTGGAAACCTAGGGAATGAGTGATTCAAAGTATCTAAAAAAAAATCTATAGTTCAAGATAGAGGCATAATGATACCATGGAAACTGTATTTATATTTATTACACTCTTATTCTTCTTCCTGTTGATAATTTGGGGTTATCACTTATTGTACCATTGTATAAGGATTACACCTGGATATATATAGTGGAAAATTTACCAGATTAGCTTAACAAATAGGGATTTATATTTTCTCAGCAGGAAGTTCAGAGACAGGCAGCAGAACTCATGTTCTTTCTGGCTTCTTTCTTTCTTTCTTTCTTTCTTTCTTTCTTTCTTTCTTTCTTTCTTTCTTTCTTGGTGTGTCATCATGGTCATGAGGTCGTCACTCCTCCTTGATTTAATATGTCCATGCTTCAGGCAATAAAGGAAGACGGTTGAAAGTAAGAGGCATCTATTAACAGAGGCTGCCCTTTTTCATATTAAGGAACACAATAACATTTCTCCTGTCCTACTTGTATCATTGGCTAGAACTGGGTTTCATGATCACCTCTGGCTCCTAAAGTATTTTTAACTGGGCATCTATTTGTCATGACCAAAGTCAGAGTTCTGTTAGAAGAAAGAAGGTGAGAATGGACAGTAAGTAAAAAACTTGTATTTGCTGCAGTTATCATTTTAGGCTTCCTGATAGGGAAAATTGTAAGGGAAGATAATATACTGTGAGGTAGAGTGATGCCCATGGTATGTTAATCCACAGTTATAATATTGACGTTTCTTTTATAGTATATACTGAAATAATGTGCTATTGTGTGCTAGTATCACTGGACTTACATCACAGATATTTTCAACCTATCAATATTTGTTGAGTATGTCTACATACCTGGCATTATTCCAAGCTCTTGAAGCATAGAACCCCTGGGGGGCAGTGGTAGTGAAATGTAAAGGTTCTCAGCACAGGATTAGGAGTTGTGTGCCTGGGTTTTAGTCCTGACTCTGAATCTTAGTAATTGTGACATCTTGAGTAAGTCATTTAACTTCACTGATGCTCAGTTTCCTC